TTCAGGTCATGCCATCAAGTCCAGAGGTAAGGTCTCATCATAACCAACAAAACGAGCCCAAACTCGGCACACCTAGTTCCGCTCGTCCACGAGTTGCAGTAGTAGGTAAGTTTATATATCCTACTTATTTTTAGCTAAATAAAAACTGTGAGTATAAAAATAATAATTTTATCACTTGTCAAGTACTTATGTTTCCAATTTGTTTTTTTCTAATATTTTGTGTATGTACAGCGATCTTTTCAGAATGAGCCGCTGCAAACAGGCGATACAGTGTCCACTCACGACGGCGGCCGAGCGCGGACTGTGGTTTCATCGAAATCTTTGTACAATAAATCAAAGCAGGCACCAACAATAAAATAGCCCTTATTGCAATACATTATGATTCATCCATATTACCAAAATATGTGAAAAAATGTGCATCAGTTTTTATTTTTTTTACGACTATTTGTGACATTTTGTTAAAAAATAAACCCAGGGTTTTTTAATTGAATATGTCCGTCATCTTATAGTATTTTTTAAATTTTTAAATATGTTGATAATAGACCAAAACATCTACCGAAACACAAGCCGGTATCGTTAATTTTGTAGAAAATGGCAACGAAAGTTCGTTTTTACAATATAAAAAACTACTATTTTCAACAAAAGAGTTACAGACATTTGCAGATGAAGAACCAATCTATACATGGTAGTTTTTACTTATATTTGATTTGGTTTAGTTTTGTCACAAAATCTACCGAAAAACACCCTAATTTTGGTTGATTTGCAAACGCGTCCTTAAGTGACGCCGCCCTGGTGGCAGAAAAAGACGCGGTTGCTCAAATTGGCCCAACCTGTAAAGTATACTTATACTATCTATGAGCCCAAACACACTAGAGTAGCATGGCAAACCAACTAATTGCTCCATCTTGCTACATATCTATTTATCTATGTGCTCCATTACGCTCTCAGAAGTCAGAGGAGGCCAGTGACCTGCATTGTGACGTATATAATACGTATGTAACTTGATACGTATGTACGTATGTAACTTGATACGTATGCACGTACGTAGGCGGTCCCATAATGAATTGGCCTAACTATGAACCAATGAAGGAAATGAAACGAAACCAATTTTATTTTTCAATATAATCACCATGAATACTAACACACTTCTGACAGCTGTGAATCAACATCTCTAAACCTTTATAAAAATAATCACATTTTTTATCCTCAAAATGACTGAAGACGGCCGCCTGCAACTCTTCATCGCTTGAAAATTTTCTTCCTCTTAAGTACCGCTTTAAATTTGGAAATAAATGATAGTCGGACGGGGCCATGTCTGGACTGTAAGGTGGATGTTGAACTTCTGTGAACCCGCATTGACGAACTGCATCCTTCGAAACACCAGCGGTATGAACAGGGGCGTTGTCATGGAGCAACAGGACACCTTTAGACAGCTTGCCTCTTCGTTTTTCCTTTATCTTGTCTCGTAATTTATATATTAAAGAAGCATAATATTCGCCGTTCACGACTGTATTACGTTCTTTAAAATCCACCATCAAAATGCCTTGAAAATCCCAAAATATTGTGCACATCAGTTTTTTAGTCGATTGTTGCACCTTTGCCTTTCTAGGGGGCTTTTCACCCTTATAACGCCATTCCATTGACTCGCGCTTGCTTTGTGGATCATAATACAAGATCATAGTTTCATTACCAGTCACTAGCCGCTCGATCACAGTCTTTGGATTTTCGCCACAAAGATCCAAAAACTCCGAAGCGCAGCGCACTCTTTCCTGTCTCTGTACCGCTGAAAGAAGTTTCGGTACCCATCTTGCACTCACTTTTTTCATGTGAAGATGTTCATGAATCGCGCGATGAACGGTACTCTTAGAGAGAACAAGCCTTGTTGCAATTTCTCTAATCTTCAAACGGCGGTCACTCAGAACCTCCTCTTCGATAAGAGCAATCGTTTCGGGAGTGAGCACTTCCACAGGTCGACCGTCGTGGCCAAAGTCTTCGACGGTTTCTCTCCCGAGACGAAACTCTTTCACCCAATTTTTCACTGTGCTATAGGAGGGGGCAGACTCCTTATACACGCCATCCAATCGTTCTTTTATTTGGGCAGGGGATAAACCTTCTTTAAACAGAAACTTTATGACACTTCGATACTCAGTTTTCGACATTTTGAAAAAATACGCGACTCTCGTTATTCAAATGCCTGTTAAACTAAGACTAAGCATTTCATGTCGATGCATGTTTGTTATATTAAGTGCACGACAAACGTACTATTTAATGCAACACAACATGTAGCGACATGTCGCGTTGAACTATATCAGGCCAGTTCATTATGGGACCGCCTGGTATGTAACTTGATACATTGACGTATGTATTACTACTGTAAATTATAATATATAGAAGACAACGCCTTGCATGATTTTGCGCCACGCTTTGCGGTACACTGTACCTCAACTGTTTAGTAAGTGCCCAACGCCCGCCCAGACGAATCGTGTTCGCTTCACATAAATAACAACTTCAAAATGCCTGGTTGTGTTCTTAAAGACTGCAGTAAACACTCCAGAACATCAAAAAAAAGTGATGGGTTAACATTTCATAGGTAAGTATGCATAAAAACAAATTTAAAACTCTTTGATTTTAAGTTTTACGCGTAACAATGCTCACGAGAATCGGGCAAAATGTAAAATCTATGGGAGCGACTTGTAAACTACGTTTAAAAGATACGCATAAGCGTCATGAAATTCCTAGCGCTTATGACGTTTTGGTCGCCAGAAAACTAATCCCTAATGCAAACTAGTGCTGCATGTTTTAATAGTTTGGTTAGACGACGTAACTATTATTTTAGCGCTGCAGCGAACTTTAGTTCTAACTCTTACCAATGAAGCAAACTTTTGGTTCGGGGTGTCTGTTCTATACCCCGTCAGGGTAAATGTATTCTGTGTTCTACTATACGCTAGTAATATAGTTCGATGACATATTATACTCACCGGTTCTTAATAATCTCTTGGCCTCATCAATTTATACTAAATATTCAAAAAAAAATTTACGTCAAAAATAGTTAGGTCTGTATACTTTTTGTGCAGGACAGTGAGTGATGGCTAACTAGACACTTCCAAAAAATTATTTTTTCTGAAGGTTCTTTATCATAATATATGTGTAGTGCAGATTGTATTTTTATTCATTATTACATGATTAATGTACTCCGTGTTACATGTTATTATGTAGCTGGTATAATTCACTACTAGAGGGCGCTACAATTACTTTTATAAAATTACGATTTAATTATTAGCTTCAGTTCGCACGAGAGCTAAAAAACCGTTGCGTCAAAACTCGGCGTTGGCGCTTTTAAAACGTTTACGATGTGATTGTTTATACGAACGCTTTAAAATCACTCTTTCGCTCACGGCTTTCGCTTCATAAGATGTGAAAATGGTTTCTACTAAATTACTAGCGATAGCAATATGTGCCGCTAGAAGGCGAAAAAAAAGCAAAAGGCATTCTGGGTACATCCTCTGAATGAACAGAGATAGGTAGGCAATTCCTTTAAGTTTCAGCTTTGCAACCATATTCCCCCCGGAGTCCAAAATCTTTGGTTTTTTGGAGGCTGCCCGCCGAGCCATCGTAGTAACGTCGGCGGATCGCTAGATGACATATTTACGGTTGGAACTAAGGCGGTATCTAATCGCCTTTTGAACCTCTAACTTTCGTTCTTGATTAATGAAAACACCTTTGGCAAATGCTTTCGCTGATGTTTGTCTTGCGACGATCCAAGAATTTCACCTCTAACGTCGCAATACGAATGCCCCCAGTTATCCCTTTTAATCATTACCTCGGAGTTCTGAAAACCAACAAAATAGAACCGAGATCATATTCTATTATTCCATGCACGAAATATTCAAGCAGCATTTTGAGCCCGCTTTGAGCACTCTAATTTGTTCAAAGTAAAATTGTCGGCCCATCTCGACACTCACTGAAGAGCACCGCGATAGGATTTTGATTTTGAAGGACAGAGGTAAGTAAAACAAAAATAACAAAATTACATAGCAATTTTTATTTAAGTAATAAAGGACATATTTATTAATTTGAACAATCATTTGGAGACAAGTACAAATCTTCTGGTGAATTTAATCAATGGGCTTTGAGCAGTTGTTGAGCTTGACAGGTCAGTGTTCGATGGAGATGGGCAAATATTTGGGTTGAAAGTCGTAAAAAAGCTCTGTGCAGATTGTGGCCTAGAACTTTGTGCAAAATTAGCGGGGCGGTATTGACGATTCTCTAAAATCTTAATAACTTTTGATGGATGTGCGGGATCGGATGAGGGTTGGTGCAAGGACAGAGTTGGTTGTGACTCTAAATGCTGGGCTGATATATATTACTGGCTTGAGTGAACATTGTCTGTGAGTACTGCTGCTGCGGGGTCTGAGTATAAATAACGGGTTCCGACTTTGAGTGCTGCTGATACACATTACGAGTTTGAGCTGATGTTGGTTGTGAGTTGGTATGAGTTATGGGTGTTGGTTGAGGTGAAAAGTTATAACTTTGGTGACTGAAATATGGTTCAATGTTTGTTCTGTTAGACGGTGATTGGTTAGGGTGTCTGACTGGCTGGCTGTATGTATTTTGCGTCCTGTTTGTGAAAGTGCGAAGTACTTTTAATATTTCTATTTTAGCTAACATTTTGCTATCATCATCCATCTTTTTTAGTGATTGAACCAATGATAAACAGAATGTTTTATCCTCGTCCATTCCAGACTCATTTTGATGGCCTGCAAAATTTCACTTTCAAACGATGATGTAGTTTTCTTTTTCTTTTTTGGAGTCTCTGTAACATTACAAGTGGCAGTCGAAGGTCCAGCGGGTGAATTTTCAGTATTAAATGTTGATGGGCTTCCAGTATTTTGCTCTGGTACATTTGTTGGAGTGCTGTAGGAAGTTTATGCATCTTTGACGTGTGGAACTAAAAATAGTAATTCGTCGTAATATCTGTATTCTTTTCTCTTTTTTACACCTTATCCTGACGTAACATCTTTTTGCGCTTGATATTCACGCCGGCAGTTGTCCCTTAAGTGATTCCACTTTGCTTGTATTTCTTTGCCTGAAAAGTAAAAATCATTAATGTGGCATAAAATTTCATTTCTCACAGATTTCTAGCATCAGGCAACAGTTTTCATGACTTACATTACCAGTTTTTACTTGGAGTGTCTACCATACATTACATTATTAAACAAGTCTACGACGCAATATGGAATTCTTTAAAACCTACGTATATACCAGAAAAAACAAAGGAAGGCTTTGAAAAAATATCAGAAGAGTTTTATCACCGCACTAATTGTCCAAATGTGATAGGGACTGTCGATGGCAAACACATTGAAATAGCAGAGCCCGATCAGAGCGGTTCATTGTACTATAATTATAAAAATTATTTTTCCATAATTTTAATGGCAATTTGTGGTGCAAACTATTGTTTCACTTGCATTGAAGTAGGAGCATACGGCGGTTCTTCTGACTCAAACGTATTTAAAAATACAGCATTCAACAGGCAGTTAGAATCGGGCCAAATCGATTTACCAGAACCGAAAACGCTACCGAATGATCCGAGTGGGAAACCTATGCCATTTGTTTTGGTAATTCAATCGGCAGTTTTTATTGTCACGAACCCTAAGCTCGTAACAATTGGTGTCAGAAGTAGGATAAAATCATGCCGATTTTACCTAAGGACGACACGGAGAGTGTCTGTACCAGAAGTTAGCACCAGCAAGAGACGAACGAGAGACGATTTTGTGGTGCAACGCCGCAGATGTCGGAGGGCCAGCCGCCGAGTTGTTCAGATAGGGCAAAAGCTTTCGACGAGGCTTTTGCCCTATCTGAACATGTTTTGCGACCATATCGGAGCCGCAACTTGATCGTGCAACAACGTGTTTATAATTATCGATTAACACGAGCACGAAGAATGATTGAATGCAGTTTTGGTATTCTATCAAACAAGTGGAGGATTTTAATACGAGCTATAGATCTTCAACCTGATCGAACTATATCAGTAGTTAAAGCATGCGTGCGTTCTACACAATCTTGTAAGAACTAAAGATGGATTCCAATTTGATGATACTTTATTTGACACTACAATACAAGGTCTACAACCGACAGGTCTAAGAAGTAACCACACGGGTCTACAAATACGTGATTATTTTACTAAATATTTCACATCGCCACAAGGTTCTATTCCATGGAAATGCCAAGTTATCTATAGACAGAACGGTGACTAAAGATAAATAACTATATACCTACCTATCTATATGATTATTTAAATAAATAAAGGTACATTATTTAATATTTACTTACATCGACTATTTTTTACATCATTGTTGAGGGTTTCCCAGTCCTCTGAGAGTTTTTTGGTTATGTCCTCCCAGGCATTATTATTTGAGTATTCTGGCAATGTCTTTGCATATAGAAATGGCCGAGCCTCCACCTCTATTATAAGCATTTCAGGATCTACAACCCACGACATCGTATCGAAGTTCTTATAACGTAAACACAAACAAAACGTCCGACTGGTGAGCGAGGGCGCGGCCAGGCGCGGCGCACTAAATGCAGCGCCGGCGCTTTTTTAAGCGCTCGTGTGAATAATAATAAGAAGTTTCATATGATCCATTCCTTTTAACGCCCAACGCCCAGCGTTGAAAATACAACACTGCTCGATAAAAAAGCGTCCCGTTTTAAAAGCGCTTTTTTTATAGTTTAGGGAGGCAAACGAGCACACAGTCCACCTGATGGTAAGTGGTTGCTGTGGCCCACAGACATCTACATCTCTTGATTACGAATCTAAATATAGATGCGTTGTCACCCGTGAGGACTAAGATGGAATGCCTCATTTCCAGTAAAAAGGGTCTCCGGTTCTCTACACTCACCATACGAAATTGTACGAAATACAGCAGCATTAAGCAACCATTTCACGCTGGTATTCTGTGAGAGCGTGGTCCTTCACCGGTCGAGCCAACCCATTCGTGCCACAACTATGCGTCCTGTATAATCGCAGCATGGCTCTACCACGTATAAATTACGATTACGTGTGAACATATACTTGGGAATGCATTTGTTCTATTTGACCTTTTTAACAGACGTTAAAAAAGCTCTTTGAACTATATTGTACTAGCGACTAGCGTACATAGAAACGACAACGCGTACAAAATGTTTGCGCCGTGAGTTCTCACTCTAAATTAACTCAATTTAGTCAGTTAGTCAGTAGTCACTCTCCTACGCTCAGCTAGACAATGTGTCTAGATTGTGACTACACGAAAATTAAAAAATGCCGTCGTGCGTCTTAAAAACATGCAAAAACGCTTTAACTGTGAATAAAAAAGATGTTGGAGTTACATATCACCGTTAAGTAAACAAAACATGTGCCAAAACCACTAAATTTAATATTTGATAATAATTTACTGCCGCTGCCACGTGGCTGCCATTTCTATATGAAAATTATAGATTACGAAAAGTGAACCATACAGATGGGAAATAACGCACAAAACTACCTACTGCCGGTTTTGATGGTTCTTTTTTTATTCAAATTAGTATTACTTGGACTTAAACTAAGAATACATTTCATCACACTACAAAATATTACGGAGCAGGCAGGAAATTAAATTTTGAATATTTTTTGAACCGATTTTTATGATTTTTTTTATTTAACTGTTACCTATTTATTTATTACCAATGTATTTATTACATAATTTTAAGAAAGCATTTTATTTTATTTAAACGACATAAAGAAGTCTTTGACATTGTTAAGGTAGATACTTTTAAAAGTACAGGTTGGTAAACTATTTATTAATCTGTGGTACAGGACAGCTAGGTACTAATTTTTATGACGAGTGGATTAATTTCCCTTCGAATGTGTATACTCTTTTCGATATTTCTTTTATAGAATAAGGATGACAAACGAGCAATTAGTCCACCTAATGGTAAGTGTATGCTGCGGTCCATAATCATTTAGATTTATTCTATTCTCCATTAAGAATAAAAACGCAGATGCGTTGTCATCCATGAAATTTGTTTAAAACATAAAAGATTTTTAATATTGATGTGATCACAACAAGATACTGTTATATTAGCTAATTACGTAATAACTTAAGACAGAAGGACCCTTAAGTAGGGACTGAATAAATTAACTGACTTGGTATTACATGGATCTCACAACTTTTCACGATAGAAGAACTGAGTTGCGAGACTTGGCTTTTTTTATAAGTTATGTTTTTGATGGCATTAATTTTACCTATTACGAAGTTGAGGTTTCGCCGTTCTTCACTGCTTGTTTATTCTATAGGCACACAACACCTTCGTACCTTGTTGAACAAAACGCGTAAGCGACGCAGTTTCGGCTTTCGGCGGCGTTTACGACTTTCTTCTCGCGAGCATTAAGCTTGCTAACTACATCTTTCAGCAATCTAGCGCTACCTGTTTTGCGACGCATGACTAGACTGCATAATATTTTTAGCGCTGTAGTAAAAACTCATAACTATTAATGTTTGAAAAACAATCAAACATTAAAAGTTATTTTAATAACTCAACCATTAACAGATACTACTTAGATTAATGCATATTTGTATTAAATCAGTTATATTTTTTACCAAGCAATATCAGTTAATTTCTAGTAGTACAATAAACACATAATAAGATCATAATCGCGTGTTTTCAGTTCATCGGCCTCAGAGGCTATCAGCATACCCATATCTACGTAGTACTATTATTTATTCTGTGCCATAGCAAAGATTTAAATAGTAATCTTTGACCCATAGAATACGTGCTTTGTTATAATATTCAACACATGAATATATATTTTAACGAAAATTGCAATATTTAATAATGAAGTTATAAATTAATCATTTTTAATTCGTTAAATTAAGAGTTTTCATTTTAATCATCATCTCTATGACAGAGACACAATGTTAGATTGTGATTATGTAACAAAATAAAACTATGATCATAATACATTTATATTTTGTGTCAATTTTGTAAGGAAATGTTAAAAATATATATTGGTTATAACATTTTGAGTTGTTTCTAACAAGTTATATTATTCGTTTTCGTTGTTTGTTAAAAGTTAAAACGCCCAACTCTTTAGGTTCATTGCATTGCGCATTGTTTTATGGATTACGGTCAATTCTCCGTAGCTCCTTTAGTCGCGTGCGAGCGGGATAGAAGAATAGTTCTGTGTTTTGTAAACCGCGAACGTTGTTTTTGATAATAAAACGTCGATATTGTTTATTACTAAGTAAACGCAGTCAGTTTGAAGTTTATTTGTGATAAGTATGTAAGTTTATTTTGTATTTGCCTAAAAACAGTAATTGTCGTAAATGAAACGTCGGCGAGGCGTGCCTGCACCACTCCGCACGATTCACAGCTTTGACACAGTTCTTGATTCTTGTTATTGAATTGCCGGTTTAGTAATATAAATAGAAGTCGTTGCCTCTTATTCTCATTTCAAAATATGTAATCAGAATTCAATCAATCATCTTATTATCAATTATTCTTAATTCATCTGTAGGTACTAACTTTGATTTTTTTTAAATTATGTATTGTTTATAAAATATAAAACCAAATTAAAAATATTTTTTGAAATCGTAAAATTAAAAGCGTTCATTGTTTTTTTTTTGGTTTATCAGTTGTTTATAATTATTTACCTACTATATAATAATTTTAATGATATTATCATTATGATACCAATTTAAATAGGTAAGAATTAACAATAACATATAAAATTTAATTCAATGAATTTAAAATGTTATAATTTTTATTTATGCACATCTTATAATTTGTACAATATGAAACAGAATTAAATACATACTAAAATAGAAGTAGGTATAGATATATCTACTTTATGACTTCTTTTCTTAATATTTAACCCTAGAACCCTACACTATCCGGCGTACCTACTTGTTATTAATTACAAGATACACAATGGTGCTGGGGTACCCCATATTAAAATATGTATATACATATATTTAAAAAAAAACAATTACTTACTGAAACTATTACTTTATTATGAAATAGTACGAACTTAAAATTAAAAATTAGTCTCAAAATCTGAATTGGGGATGTAACGATACATAATTGTGCCGATAAGATACCGATACCGATTATTGTAGTAAATAATCGGCGATACCGATACCTTTATCGGTGACTGAGTAGAAATAGCAAAGAAAAAATAAATAAATATTGGATAATTTTCTTTATTATGCATAAAATTACCTATATTTATTAGAGACTGAAATTTGAGAAGTTTAAAGTGTCTTCAAAATTCACAGAAAACATTATATGAAATAATCAAGAATATTCTCAAACAATCAAAGCGCTAATCAAGAAAGTAATTTTCATTACACAAATTGGTAAAGTAAACCGATACAAAAGATAAGGAAAACAAAGTTTGTTTAAATTATTAGCAAATCATTTTGAAAGAGTCCTACAGTTGAAAATAGACACTCTGAGGTAACTGCGCTGAGCTAGAATGTCGCGCGCACGTTGTTCGTTTCGCGCGGTTTTCAAACTCTTGATATCGGTTGTATACCTAATCGGCGAAACCGATATATTGGTATCGAAATCGTTACATCTCTAATCTAAATTTAATGTGAAGTTGAGCATATTCACAGACTTTCATCTATTGCTCAATATTTTATTACAATTATTTTACGCGTGTGTTATTATATGTTATGTGTTGGCTCGCGACGTTCTGTTTTTATTTTTCTATCCTTATTTATTGGGAAAAAGACATAACATACTTTAAGTATGATGTACAGGAACGGAACTTTGACCAGCCATTGTTTTTTTTAAGGAGAGCTATAAGTGACTTTTGTATATCCCTCGTCAAAGCTTAGCTCCAAATGTTCATTAAAAAGCTCTAAATCAATTTTTAATATGCATATTCGTCAAAACTATTCTCGACTTATTATTTGCTCTTGAGATAAATGTCCATCACTTGAAGAAATTGTTTTGTTAACCAATTTGAACCCTAGTTAATTTTTCACTACTCAATCTCCATTTATGTTCGTTGTTCATGACTTTATTAATTAAAAATAAAGTAATTTAAATGATTCATCAAAATATACTAATACATTAAATAAATTTGGAAAACGAATATATGAGAAAATAAAAATACTTACGGTATACCTACACTGGGGTGCTGACGTCATTGAGGTATTACTACTATGTATAGATAAGACAATACAATAGACAACGCCTTGCATGATTTTGCGCCACGCTTTCCGGTACACTGTACCGCAACTGTTTAGTGAGTGCCCAACTCCCGCACAGACGAGTCGCGTTCGCTTCGCATAAGTAACAACTTCAAAATGCCTGGTTGTGTTCTTAAAGACTGCAGTAAACACTCCAGAACATCAAAAAAAAGTGATGGTTTAACATTTCATCGGTAAGTAGACATTAAAACGTTTAAAACTCCGACTTAATTTTTCGCGTTGTTACAATGCTCACAAGAATCGGGCAAAATGTAAAATCTATAGGAGCGACTTGTTGTACACTACGTTTAACGATACGCGTAAGCGCCATGAAATTCCTGGCGCTTATGACGTTTTGATCGCGAGAAAACTAATCCCTAACGATACGTAGTTACTATTATTTCTTCTGTGCTAATGGTTTGGATAGATGACGTAAGTATTATTTTAGCGCTGCAACGAACTTTAATTCTAACTCTTACCAAAATGAAGCAAACTTTTGGTTAGGGGTGTCTGTTCTATGCGCTAGTAATTAATTCGATGGTTGAGGTAGCCCACGTCATTCGTTGTCACGTCCACACGGCGCGACTGTCAACGCTAACCCGATTAAAAAGTAGTGGATGACACTCAACTAAAATACGCGAATGCTCAAATATACAGAATTATGTAAGAAACAAATTTTCCTGGGGTTCCTTAGCACCTAATGAAGTGTTCTAGGGTTAATTCATGGAAAATTAGCTGTGGCGGCATTGATATACCTACAAAGGGTTTTTTGTACATCAATGAGTGGTGGCGGTGTAAGAATATCCTCACCCAGTATCTTCCCGTGGGTGTCATAAGAGCCGACAGAGGGAAACAACTAGGAGATGGGCAGCATCCTCATAAGGTCAAGAAAATAAAAAACTGCGATTGCCAACCAGCTTCCCAAGCGTGGCTACTCGTACTATGGCAAATATCCCCCTATGAGGCAATCTGTGGGAAGACCAATGTTTAGCAATGGACTTTTGATGAAATAAATCCTATACCTTTAAACGAGCAATTCTTGTATATATATATATATATTTTTTTTTATATTTTATATTATATATCGAAATCTCTGAAACGGCTCCAACGATTTTCATAAAATTTTGTGTGCAGGGAGTTGTCGGGGGCAATAAATCGATCTAGCTAGGATTTATTTTTAGAAAATGTCTTTTTGTCCATGTTTTTAGGCAATTAAAAACTGCTACAATATCGTTAGAATAAGAAGGTAAATTTTGACACTATTAACGGTAACAAATAGCTTAATTGGTATATTGGGCGGTCACAAAATCGTAACACCATGGTTCGAGCCCAGACCGACCCGACCGACTTCTTTTAAATTTTTTTTTCAAGTTCCTTTCTTTTTTTGAGAAAATCTATTTTTTCGAGCCCTTTTTTAGTATTTTTTAGAAAATTTAAATTAAACTAATTGATATATTTTTTTCAAATCAGTTCAGTTTTTTCTATTATGTCGCTAAGATCAAAAATATTATTCGTATTTCATCAGTATGTAATTTGTATCTAAATATAATTTCCAAAACACAGGAATTAAAAAAAAAACCGAGCGAAAAATACCGAGCAAAGCTCGGTCAACCGGGTACTAAAAATCAAAAATAAAAATTGTTTATTTCGGACAACTTGAATTCATTTTCATCCAAACAGAAATTGTTAGTAGAGAAAAACCTACATCTAAGCTGCAATGATGATGATGATGATTCATGGAAAATATTTAATAAGGAAAATTGACATAGATTATGTGAAGTGTGGCAGAAATTTAATTTATATTATGGAATAAGTAGATACTTAATTGCGATTTTTGTGTTTTAGATATTGAATATTTACGGAAATGCCTAATTGCATACTTAGATATTGCAAAAATTATTCTAAAAGAACAACGAAGTTTTCTGATGGCGTAACTTTCCATAAGTGAGTTATAATTTATAATCTCCTTCCGAGTGGTTTGAGGTTTTTTTTAAATCCATCGGGAACTTTTTTATCTTCCTGGATTTAAACTAGCTCATGTCCATCCCCGGGATACAAGCTATCTCTATAACAAATTTTTATCATTATCTGTTAAGCGGAAAGCTGTGAAAGGGTATCAGACAGATACTGTCGCATTTATAATTTTGAGCATTGATAAGGATTTTCCAGTCTATTACGAAACCTTTTTTACCGAGTTCAAAAAGGACGAGGTATACAATTCGACTATGTTTTTTTTAAATGTGTTACCTCAGAACTTTTCTCTGAGTGAACCGATTTTGATGATTCTTATTTTATCTGAAAGCTGGTACTTTTTATGTGATCTCACAAAAATTTAATCAAAATGTGACTAGTACTTTTTGAGTTATCCTTTATAATGCGTATTTAATTGACTGTTGTTCTCATTTTAATTATATTAGAGTCGGTTGCACAAAATTTTTAATTGTACCACTTGTTTTCCGTAGAATTTACCTTGGAAGTGGTGACAATTTGATACTCAGTGACTGTTTGATATTCAAAAATAATCTTTACATCCCCATTTTAGGAAATTTATAGTAGTACTTTATTGTTTAAATTAGGTATTTATATCTCAAATGATTCATTTAAAATCGATATACACGAGTAATAATGTACTTATGAATTATGATATTAATCGTAAGCAAGGAAACTGTTTTAATTTTTTTAAATTAAATGATTGAAGTTAAAAAAATAAAGTTCTTGCCATTGCAAAAATGTCATTGTCATACCATATTACTATTTTGTACTGACCGGTTTTTTTTTCTTTTAGATTTCCTCGTCCTGGTCACGAAAAAAGAGAGCAGTGGATAAAATTTGTTCAAAATAACAGAAGCGAAGACACGTGGTTACCGTCAGAGCATACGTGTATTTGCTCTGTACACTTTCGTGAAGAAGATTTTTATTTAACAAAAACTGGACGAAGGTATCTTAAGAAGTCTGCTGTACCATTTGAAAAACTAAGTTCAGAAGATAACCGAAATACATCACCTACTTCACTTTTAAACGTAGACGTTTCGGATTCAGAATCTATATTTGACACACCAATACAAATTGAATTAAAAAAAGAACTGAGAAAAAATATAGCAGCTAAAAAAAAATTATTAGGAATAAATAAGAAATTGAAAAGACAATGCAGATATTTAAAATTAAAAAATCAACAATTAACAGACATAATAAAGGAATTAAAATCTAAGTTAGTCAAAGTAGAAAGTGTTGCTGACAATGAAAACCAACAAATTCAAGAAGCTTCCGTCGTAGTAAAAGAGTAATTATAGTAAACGATAGAAGAATATCTGTTTTTAATTAATTACTTCATTTACACAGATAATAGACAAATAAAATAAATCTTTCTTATCAATATTTGTACATTAGATTTATTTACAGTGATGATTTGTATTAATTGTAGCAACTTTCACTTCTGTAATTGAAAAAGCGGAAAACTCTGAGATACGAACGAGAAAAAGGTACAAATCACTTTAACAGTCGGATCTGCGTAAGCGTGGCATATTTATCATTTCAGTTTCTACCTAATAATAATAATATCCTCCAAACCAAATTTCGTGAAGGCGCGGCGCGGCGGCCAGTCTCCTCACTCCATGGAGACTAGCCATCTCCTCTCAGGACAGTGTGACAGGACAAGATTATAGTGCCCGAGGTATTTACTCATGTGGCCCGAGTGTAAAGCACAAGTGCACTCTCTATTCCCTCACTCTCATACAGTTCGATGGGACGGCAATCCGACATGAACGGACAGAGATCACGCGCTGAACCAACGGCTTTACGTGCTTTCCGACGCTGCTACTGAGTATTTCATGACAGGATAAAACAATAACTGATTTTGACCCAACCCAGGCTTTGAGCCCGGGACCTCATGAGCAACTAGTTTAAGACCACTGGTCGGCATTTGAGAACTCAAATTTTTAGAATAATTTTTATTGCATTGAATTAATTAGATTTCTTTGATAACCAATGTTCTTGATTTATCATTCATCTTCAGTAATGATACCTGAAACTTGCATACGGTAAATTTAAAAAAATATTTTCCCCTCCAAACACATCTCCATCACCCCATGTTATACTTTTTTAAATCAAGAATGTCGTAAAGTACTTAGGGATAGGGAAACACCGGAAGATATCATAGCCCCAGATATAGATGGTGGTATTACAATTCTATACATAGTCTAGATCTAGATGTTAAAAACGAAGGCGCAGACCGGCGATGGAGAGCAGTGTCAACGGTGCAACGGTGAGAGTGAACACACATAAAATTAGGGGTGATATAGCAAGGAAAGATTTTTTAAGAAACACTAAGATATTTTTTCTGCATCGTGGAGGAGTTTAACACACATAAATTGCACATGGACAAACATCCAGACCCATAACAATATTTGTAGGCAATACAATTACTAACACAAAATGTTTCGTGCGGGATTCTAACCCGCGGTCGTAGCTCAATGCTAAGTTCTTCTTTTTGAAGGCTTCGTAACGCAGTGGTTGCGAAGCCTTCAAAAAGAAGAACTCTTAAAGTTCCTAAAAAGATAACCATTATCGTAACTTTCATTTTACGTTTACTATTATTACCATTTATATTGCTTAAAATTCTTTGAGTATACTCAAAGTTAAAATTACGTGCAGTTATGAGATCTTTATTTATGAATCTTTAAAACACTAATCCGTTCTATGATCACTTCGTCTCTGTTATCTTAGAAAATTTTAGATATTTGACCACTATGCAGCATAAACTAATCTATGCCTATTAGGTACCTACTTACATTTATGTATTAATTAGTAATTTAAGCATTGGAATGTAAACGATGCATAATGTTATCAGAAAACGAGGATTTACAGATAATAAGAACAAAAGACTTTGTTCTAAATTGCTTCTCATAACTTTTATAGTGAAAGAGTCACGAGACTCGGGTTTTTTTTTTGGCTATTGTTTGGCTGAATAGAATTATTGTTGAGAAGAAACTTCGCCGAAAATAAGCGGCAAGCTCGTGTGTGAAGCCCCACAAAAAATAATGCCCGGTTTACTGGCCGACTTACATTGTCTTATGCCCCATTTACATTCAGCCCTGTTGGGCAGGGAAGTGAGCAGGGCAGTGAGCAGGGCAGTATGTAAACAGGCTACTCGCGCTGACACTGCCGCTGCCGCTGACACTGCCCGAAATGTCGGTTTTTCGTGCGGAAGTCAAAGGACGGGCAGCGCGAGCGGCAGTGTGTGTTCACATTCAGCTCCATCGCTCACTTCGCGACAAGCGCCTGGATGAACGGACGTGCGTGCCGTCCTGTTATTAAATAAATACGATCTACCAAAATGCCTTTCGAGTGGATTAATGAAAATACAATAAAGTTTTTAGAACTGCTGGAATCAGAAAAAACTATATGGGATTTCAACGATAAAAACCACAATTCATCATCTTCTACGAATACGAATTTTCTTTTTTGAGTTAACATAGTACCTATGTACATAATTAATTATAAATTCGTCAAATTTATTATATTAATATAAAATTTAGTTTAAGGAATTAATGAACATTGACATTTTATTTCTAAAAACGATTAGTAACTCATATTGATTATTTATTAATTAAAATGTAAAATAAGTTAAAAGGTAATATTTGCATAATAGCCTGAGATTTTTAAATTATAATTTTATTGTAATTAAAATTACGAATTAGTTTATACTGAAGTGTAATTAATAAAATAATAATAGCTTAACTAATCTCATATAATATTTAATATTATTTATGTAACAATAATATAATAATTCAATTAATAATTTATGAACAATTTACTGTATAAGAATTCAAATAGAGTGGATCTGTATAAGTATTTAATTGTACATAATATTTGAATTCAAAAAGAATGTGTGTACCTAACTTTTAAGCAACATCGGGTTTGTGTAATTAGCTGTATTTCATATAATTTTTCCATGCCAATTATGGCAAAACATGTCAGTTCCACGTCATTGATCATCTTATGTACCATGTTTTTAAGCAAATAAATTTTCTATCTATCTATCTATCTTCTTTTGAACTTGATATCTTTTTAAATTATTAACATAATTTTGTATTGCAAGAAGACACAGCGCGGACGCTGTAATTATTTCGACGTCCGCCATAGTCGAAAGCCGAAAGCGATGTGAGTGGTAGGCAGTGCTTCCAGATCCCAAAAGTAAAATTACAGTGTTGCCAGTTAAAAAATACAGGAGTTTCTAAAAACAATACAGTAGATTTCAAAATCAATTACAGTAAAATTACAGGAAACACTTTGTTTAAATATTGATAGAAAAATAAGCTGCTTTATGACTCTTTATCAATACAAATTGCTATAAGTTATTAAATAAATAAAAACATATATTTAGATACAAGAAAAAACATTTATTATTGATTTACTTATTCCAGAACAATTTGCTCATGATTTTCATAAATCTTTGCTGTCATCCTTGAAATCATTTCCTTAGTTGGATTAAAATTCACGCAATTTTCGGAAGTCCGCCGAATGGCTTGCTGAGCTAGCATGTTGCCTTTGATGGTATTTGTGACTAAACAGTTTCTCTGCTTTGTTTTTATATTATTTATTTCACTAAACTTTCGTTCGCACTCAGCGTTCGAGTGAGGCAACGATAAAACTTGGAGCATAAAACGAGGCAGAAAATGATATTTATTATCTCCGTTGCTATCTTTGATTTGAGACAACTGAAAAAAAAAACAAATCTGTAAAATGTAAACATATGTGCAATATTATACGTAAAGTTCTTAAGTGATAAAATTTTACCTGATGCCAAAACACGTCTGCTGGTTGATTTGTATTCAAATGTTGTTCATCCGCAGTCAACATTAAATTTCTCCATTCATCATCTAACGTCTGTTGATCATTTAAAGTTTGGGGTTTAAGCCTTGGCAGCACTGGGAACAGCGAAGACAAAGACTGTAGTCTATTATCAGATAAGCAAGAATCGGGATCCAACTTTGCGATTGAGCTCAAAACTGGGTCATTCAAACTGTATCTTTTCCGAATACCCACGCATGCTTTAACGATAAAATTCAGGCATTTCTGTTTCATCACTGTAACTTCTTCGGTACTTACATGTAGCTCTGGGACAGCAACTTGATTAGCAACACCCAATCCCAGGTATATATTTTTCAGATTTATGTAATGTTGACTATCAGTAGGGTCAATTGCGTCGAGTGGGGTGTTCTTTAAATGATTCGGAGTTATGTATAAGGATAAGAGTTCTCTGTATAGCTCTTTCATTTTGTTATGGGCTTCTATAATAACCGGATCTTCGCTTTGAAAATATACATTGACGCGGGTAAACTTTGGCAACATCCAACATAAAAAATAAAAATATGCCTTGATGATGTGATCATTCAAAAGAATATGAATGGCTTGGCAATCTTGGTCTTCCAGCCATTTATCGTCAAAGTACAATCGCAAAGCGTCCCATTGCTCCATAATTCTGTTCACAACACTGGAAAGAGACAACCAACGCGTTTGGGCTGGACGTAGCAATTTGTGTATGTTAGTGTCTGTAAATACTTGAAATTCCTTTAACTCTGCTTGACGTTTGCTACTATTTTTGAAGTAATTGTATATCATTCGAGTCAGTTTTTCTGCATCGTGGGGCAATTCTTTGCAAGCGTCGGAAGCGCACAAATGTAAAGAATGGCAAAGGCATTTGATCACTGTAATACCTGGACATAGTTGTCTAAATCGTGAGGACACTGAATTATGGCAGCCCATCATCATATTACATCCATCAGAACCAAACCCGATAGTATTTTCTAAGGGTATATTTTTGTCTCGAAATGATTTTATTATTGAATTAAATAATTTTTCAGCCGTGGCTGAGTAATCACCAGACGTTCCAGCTTTTTTGTCATCAAATATTTGAATAAGGTCCCAGAATCGACTGACGATACGTCCTAAATTAGGATCATAATATTTGACTACAACACACATTGTTTTCACACTGGCAACATCGGTACTTTCGTCTACCATTATAGAGAACTTTTCGCGTTTTAAATCTTCGACTAAACATTCTCCTTCAGAAGCCCCGATAACGTTATTTATTATTGCTTGTAATTTAGTGTGTTTAAGTTTGATATTACTTGCGATTTTAGAATCTGGAAAAGCTTTTGGAAGTAAATCAACGAGATGATCCATCACTATGTGCGATATTATATCTTCTGCCATAAAAGCCGATAATTTTAATTCTGTAATTTTCCGCTGATCATCATCACTTGCGCGTTGCTGACTTTTA